AAAGGGGGATGAGGGAGCGACTAGTCTCGTGAGAGGAGAGCTCGAGACCCGGGCCGAAGGACGAAGAGCGGAGAAGCGGAACGACGACGAAACCCGTTCTCATTATTATATTCATATTCAGAGCCGCGCGATGGAGCAAACCTCCCTCCGCCTCCGCCTACCGCCCCATCTCTCTCTTCCTTCGCCCCCCCGTATTCGACTCTTTTTCCCGTCCACCTCCGTCTCTGTCTGTTCGGGCGCATCTCTCGACAGCGTAGAGCGGTATAGATATAGCGGTATAAAAATCTCTATAAAAAGTTGAAAAGTGCCGCCGCCGGAGTTGAGGGGCGACAATGGATGAAATATGCCGCTCCGTTCGACCCTACTGGAAGCCTTAAGGTGCCGGACACCTCCTTACACCTGCGCCCGGCTCCATATAGTGCCTTATTATAAACCGACCCGACCGAGAACGACACGGACAGGACCTGGAACGATCCACGAAATCGACGCAGGGCCTTTTTCTCTCCAATTATACCCGTTCACGCTAGATGATCGCGCCCCGCAGTCTACCGGGATTCCTCTGTCCGTTCTCTCGCGAAGGGATATCTTCTCTCCTCTTAATATTCGCTAATCGATCGTTGATTTTTTAACCGTTTGACGGGAACAAACGCCGAAACCTACGCCTGGTGGCATCAACATGCCCACACGTGATCGCACGATTTATCAGACTTTCTCTGCGGTAAAGGGAGCACGATATTCGTGCTAGATAGACGCCAGTCCCTTTTGCTGTATGTACGTTCCTCTTCGTTATCGGGAGCCTGAACTCGCACGATAGTCCTTTCACCGATTTAACGTGGCCCCGCGTTACCATTGACCCTACCATCGGTGGCGAACAGCGAATTTATCCACGTAAATCGAGGTGTGCTCCCTTGTCCTTTTGCAGTTGCGCGAAATATACGAATGGGAGAGGAAAAATTTGTAAATTGAATGAGAGTTTGGGGAAAATCATTTTGATTCATTTGGAAGCGCAGTCAACGAAGACCACAGATCAGTTCAAAGCTGCTTAATAAAGATCCGGGTGCTCGTTCGATATTTCAAACGAAACGAACAACACCGGTCGCACAATGCCAGTCGTTAATAATGATTTGTGCTACCCGTGTTCTGATCCAGAGTTCCGCGCCAACAAAAGTCGTTTTTTTTTAGCCGACCGGCCAACTTTTATTCGGCCAATGTTTATCGCGCGTACACGCGGATGCTGGAACAATTCTTCGCATCCCCCAAAATATTGTCGGTCATTAGAGCGTTCTTTTTATGCGGTGACGACGGACAACTAGAAAGGAGTCTAGTTTGGCACGCGCTAGAAACGGATCTAGACCCACAAATCGACACAGACCGTGAGCGGTTCCCGCGCCCAGGTGTTTCCCCGGGGCTAGGAGTTCTCTTCTGGCACCTTTTGCGGGATAACCAGAACCCCCGGCGTGCTTCAACGAAACCACTAATTGGTGGAGAGGAAAGAAAGTGTAAAAGCAAGGACTGTCGGGGACAGTCCGTTGCCAAGCTGGAGGGGGTGGAGTTGGGTCCCAGGAAGCCGAAGCCTGTTTTCAGAGACGACAATGAGGCTGATTATTAACCAAACCGGGGGGTCCTCTGTTGTGGCTACGGACCCGTGGTGTTGTTCGCGGTACACGGTCCCAACTTGTCTATACCTAACCGCACCACCGACGCCCGAAAAGATATACAGTCGTTCTGTCGTCTCTTTCATCATCGACCGCAACTGAGAAACAACCCAAAGCTATTTGCAAACCTTTCGGATATCCCAGGACCGACGTACAGGTGCCCACTACTCGAGACAGATTTACTTAACTGGTCTGGGAATTCTCGGCCGTTCTACTTCTCGAAAAGATCAGATTTTGCCTGGAAGGATTAGATTACGCGTGCTGGTAACGAGGAGGCGTGTATTCGACTGATTCGAGTACACTTCGGCCCCAAGGACATGAATCGATGATTTCCTTTTTTCTTTTTTCTTTGTTTATCAAAATTGATGCCGTTTCTGCGAATAATACCCATAACGTTTAGATCGTCGCGTTTCGAATTCTTCACCCGAGAAAACTTTCCGCCATCGGGGAAGACGGTTCAAGGCCCCCGACGGGTCCACATACTTCGACCATTCCGCAGTCACCGATTCTCGTAATGGATTTGCTAAAGCTCTCGATTACATCACAAACATAAACACGAGCCGCGTTTCTGATGCAGACTATCGTCGACCGGCGGGACGTCGTCGCTTGTAAATCACGCGTTAATGACACATACAAATCGACACGTGGTTAATTTATAACCGCATTACAAAGACGCGCGATGCGTCGAAACAACGATTCGCCTTTCACTGACAATTTTAGTAAGAACCCAGATATAATTTACGGATGATGCACGACTGTACGTCACCTGGAACCCCCTATTTTTCGCGCAGAATCGGGAAGAACTAACCAATGTATGCCGGTGTGTCTTGTGGACGAAGCTATTCGTTCTCCAAACTCCATTCACAAGACAATACAGTGATTCCTCGATGAATGCGACAAGAGCAACGGCGTTATTCCAACCACTGGAGTTGTCCACTTGCGGAACCAATAAAAACGGAGTAAACAGAAGCTAAGCAGAGGCTCGGCTTCGAGCAAAAAACAAATTTATGAGGGGCTGAAATCCTTTTCGCTTTGCTACAGATGCTCCGAAATGGACTCGTGTGTATCGCGCTCATCGAGACATTACTGTAGCATTTATAAACAACGACGATGAAATGAAACGGTCCAAGAACACTGTCGGGATCCAGTGGCCCGGGCCGAGTTAACATACGTGGATTCCAATAGAAATTTGAAGAATGGAATCTCGATTCTGTCCTGTCTCGAGCGACGTCCGACGGTCTGCCAGGTTCCTCGCTGACTCACTCGTTTTGGACTCGGTTCGAGGAGAACGCAGCTGGCTCGAGCCAGCTCGGAACGGTCAGGTCGAACCTGACCCCGTCGTGGCCGTTACCGTTTCTGAGTGACGTCTTCATGTCTGGCTCTGCGGGGCATTCCTCGTTCTCATTGTCCGTTTGTCCGTCAGTCCGTTCGGTGCCTGGACACGGGATGTATATCGCCAACCCCCCGTCGTCGACCACTTCTCGCCACGAAAACTTCGCCGCACTAACCGCACACACCAAGTGTCCCGTAAAAAAGACGAGAAAGCCACGGAAATAATCATACCGGCACCGATCTGCGCGCGTGTCTCATCGGCGAATCAAAAGAATTCTCCCGAGTCCGTCGTGTCTGCTCCAAAACTTGGTAATTGCGAACCTCGAAAGTTGTGTAGGTGGCTTACGTGAAGAAGCATTCGCGTATGGAGAACGAAACACGGTAAATTTAATACCACGAAGCTGAATACCTACCTAGATGCACATTCGCAACGTGAAAGTTTGCAACAGCGGACTCGTATACACCCAAAATAATTAGGAAGATTGATGTCTTTCGCAGACGACACCGTTCGTTTCCAGCAGCGGATAGCTTTTCTTGATCGAAACGACGCATACGAGCGTACTTTTCGTGACGATTAGCGGGGATGACGTTGCGATATTCGGACAAATGCACACACTGTGGTTTAACGCCGCTTTCGAGTGCCGGTTCCGAAAGAAACGGCAGCACCGATTCTGAATAGTAACGAAAGACGATCGGTCGCGGGGAGAAAGGTAGAGGGGCGTTTCGTTTAATTGGCCGCAATTAACGGAACGAACCTGCGATTCGCCGCCGTAAATCATCTGAACGGAGATCATGGAAGAAACTAGATCTACCTTGAAACGCCATTTTGTAATTTTAATTAGCCAGCGGAAAATATAATAATTTTTAATTGAGAAAATCCCCGGTGAACCACTCGTATCCTATAATATTTCGTGAATTAATGTTACATGTAAATTAATACGGGCGTAATACAACCAATTGGAAATAAAGTGTAGGAAATATTTATGGTTTTTGGAACACCTACTAAAACGCAAAGATTGTATCTCGTATTTTAAAGTTGAAACGTCGGGTCCATTGATAGAGCGTGTCATAAAAGTGGTTAAAGTTTCTCATGGTAGGACATTCCGAGTTCAGCGGTTGAATAACGAAGGTTTAATGAACGTAAAAGAGATGCAGCACACCGTCGCGTACGCGTTCCTGATCATCCTTAAATGAAAATATTTACGTTATCGAACTTAATTGATTCCCAGAAACAGATACAGGTAGTACGTAACGCTATAGTAATATTAGAAGGCATTTCGACGTGCTGGGCGTGTAGTACGATAGATGATAATCCAATCACGACAACATACTACCGAATTCTATTCTGCGCGCGTATCAATGACAACTTACAATGGCAGGACCACGAGAATGTTATCAAACACGGCTCGTCCTCGATCTCGCGAGAATTCGGTACACACGAATTACAAATGTTTACAGGGGACATTTTCACGGGTTATCGACACATTCCCGACTATTAAAATCGTACGTATACAACTAGCCTAAGTTGAACCTATATACCTAGCGTTTCGAAATGTCGAACTTACGCTCTTCGAAGAGATTTCAAGAGATTCAGGAGACTAAAGCGAGTTGCCTCGATAATTCTTGCTACTTGCCCCCGCGGAAGATAAATTTAATCGTTCAGAAACATAGGATAAAAGGTTCATCTTTAACTACTGTATAATTATACTGGTGAAATGTTCTACATAGTCGGTGGAAGAAACATAGTGTGTTTGCTAGAACATACCTACTACATAATAAGAATATTTCCTCGTAAGAAAAAGGAATAACAACAAGGATACAAGTTTGCCAACTTTAGTTTACGAGTTTACTGCCATAATTTTACAAATCTCTGTAACGCACCTTACATTAGAAGACTAGAAGCAGAGGCAACCCAACAACATAGCGATTTCCTATATCTGTTCACAAAATTTCTGTTTCACTGTGTTTCTTCCACCGACAGTTACGCAACCGTTCAGGGTAGTTTTCCCTTACCTTTCCAATTCCGTGGCGACCGTCGATGCGACGTTCTGTCGGTCCTCGCAGGATATCCGGTCGTTCCGTTCAGCGCGTTCGTTTTGATTTAGCTTCTCATCGATATGCAGCTTCCTGCGAATCCGTTTCCCAGTCGTGGACGTGGCTCACTCCCGAACTCGCGACCCCGTTTTATCTGGACTTTCCAGTCGTGTTTCACACGCGAAACCGCGCGGCGCGTACAATTTCCCGTAGCAGTCGTACTAATTTCGTAATCAGCGAAGGTTCGTTTTTCGATCACGTGCACAAGGTAGTATGTAATGTATCCTGGTCGCAAGAAAGCCAAGAAGGGATTGTTTCTGCTCTCCTGGGCTGACTCTTGTCCTGAGACGAGGCGTCGTCGGGTCGCGGGATTATTCGTTGGGTCGGGGTCGTCGGGTCCGTGGCCCGGGGTCAGGACTCTCGTAGTTTATACGAGACAGAACGATCGGGGGGGAAGAAACTGGAGCGTGCGTGGTACGTTGCCGACGGGTCGCGAGACGCGGAGAAAACGCTCGTGTTCCGTAAAACTCACTTCGGTCACGGGGCCCCGTGTGTATCTCTCGCGCGAGAGCAGCGGCGATATCTCGGGATACTCTCTCGGGCTCGGCGGACTTCTCTCTCTCTCGGCGACGACGATACACACGCCGGTGGCGGCGGCGGCGACGACGGACGACGCCCGTGCTTCCTGGTACCGCCACTCGATAGCGCTGCCTTCGTCCTCTCCCAACTCGTCCTCCTACCTTCTCTCCCTGAACAGGCCCCCCACCAGGAGCTCTTCCTTTGAACCAGGACGCGCGCACGAACCACCCGACACCGATGTGTGATGTCGCGCGCGTTACACGTCCCCAGGATACGGGTTCGCCTCGCAGCAGCAACTTGCGCGCACCCGAAGGGGGAGAGAACGCTCGCGCGCGCGCGTTCGTCTCGCTTGCTCCAACAACTCGCGTATATATTCTTCTGCGACTTTGTCCCACCCCTCGAATCGAGCGTTATATTTCCCTCTCTCGTTCGTGGCCGCCCGATGGAACACACACGAAGACTCGAGAGAGAAAAATTCCAACCTCGAAGGGAATATCGTGGACGCGCTGGACTCGTCGTTTCTCTCCTACTCCCTTCTCTCTTGTCATTCCCCGCCGATCGCCGCGCGTGACCAACCCGAGACACGCACGCGGAACACAACGCGTTGTGTGTGTGAACCGCTGGGGAAGAACGGGGAGAGAGAAAGGGCGAAATAGGTGTGCGGACTCGTGGTCCGTCCTCTTGGCTGGGTTCTCGTCGCCACTCGCAGAGCCGAGTCACGGTTTTCTCGGACGGAACACTCGCGAAGAATTTTAATAATAAATCGAGAAAGAAAGAAGAGGCTCGAAAAAAGCCTAGGTCTGATTTCCAAGATTCGGTAGACGCCTCTTTGCCTTCGAATTGAGCCCTCCTCCCTCTCCTCGGTGAAAACGTCGATGGATGAGTCCTGGCGTGGATAAAAGGTGAACGTACGTTCGAGTTTCTTGCTCTTATCCTCTTTTCGCTCTCGTCTCGTTATTATCAACCATTAAACGGTAACGCTCTCGTCTTCCAATGTAACGAGGAAACTCTTGTGCACGCGATTCTGTGTACAGAGAGATACCAAGAGAGGGATAGGCAGTGCGTTTCGAACCTCCTCCTACTTTCCTTCTTCCCCCTCTGCCACTTTGTGTACTGTGTCTACGAAATGCACACGACCCCCGTAAACGGAGCGATACTCCCAAGTACCGGCCCGATCGTCCGGGGAGCAACTATCGGAAACGTCTATCGGCGAACGGATGTGTACCCTTTTAAAACCAAACGGCTACGTCGCGTCCCCCAAATTCCCAAAAATTTCGTGAAACACTAACCGAGAGCACAGTTTCGCGGTTGTACGCCTTGTGTTTGTGTCACGCCCCACCATCGATGGTACACGGTACACCACGAAGATCTCGGCGTCCTATCTACGGAACACCCACACATCCGAAGGTCACCGATGTCGGAGCGAAAGACAAAGAGGGGAAATAAACGCGCAGCCTCCACATGGACCAAAATGGCCGGTCGAGCGACGGCCGATTGGCGGGATGGTAACGGCATGGGCGTGGTGAATATACGCCACGTACCTTGTAGCCGGTCGTCGACGATAAAAATAAAGGTCTCCCCGCTGCTCTGGGTGGGGATGAGAGTGGAGGGGGATCGATGAGAAATACGAAGCAGAAGGGAGGAAAAGGGAGACCGGGAGTGCAGGGTGCACACGTTGCATTCGTTACGCGTTACCGTTCTCGAGGGGGCGAACGTCTCTGGCGGGGTGAGGTTTTGCCCCGAGGTAGGGGAAAAGACTTTTTTATAGATCCCCCGTTCCCCGTCCTTCTCGCGCCGCTTTTCCGTCCATCGGACGCATCGCACTCGTTCCTTTCCTCTTTGTCACTCTACCGTGCATTTTGATTCTGTCGCGTTTTCTCCAACAGCGGAGTCACTGTATCCGCGAGAAAGCGTATGTATCGCGCGTAATATACCGTAGACAACGCGTACACGAGGACGATAACCGTGAACGTACAATCGGGAATATCGTTGTGGGCGTTGCGCGACGCGCCTGCTGCTCGGTGATCGTCATTAACAGAGATGCTAATTGGAGGCAAAGCGGCGTCGAGCCGATACCCCCGTCTGGATATGGTATTCTCGAAACACGAGCAACATTTTTCTACGCCTACTCGTTTGTTTTAGTCAACCCCGTTTACCACCCTAGATGCAACGTTTCGACTGTATATTTACACCCACGAGCAAACTCGGCTTCCACTAGGAGAAAAAGTAACTTAGGGAAAGGGCCTCCTACCGCTCCTACCATTTTGTATATTTATTTCAGGTACTGAAACAAATGTTAAATCAAATGTTAATTTAGTTAATTAATGCTAAGGTTTCAATGACATCAACCATAAAAACATAATGAAAAATAAATGTGCTTTCGGCTATCGAGAATTACGGATTCAACGAAGCGCTTAATATGGTAGGATACAAACTACCTTATAGAATATTTTCTGCCAACGTCGGCGAAGTTAATACAAACTTTGAGCCAAGCTGAAATCTATCGCAGCTCTTTCAAACATTCTTCAAAGGTCGTCGGAGAACTTGAAGTGATGGAAGCAAAAGGTGACCAAAGGGATTGTAGGAATATGGTCGAAAATGAACAAGGAAGTTTGTGTATAGTCGTGAAAAACGGACAAGGGAATCGGGGGTGGCCGAAAATTAAATGCTATTGACTATATCACCAACAAATACCATAACAATGTCAGATCTCGATTTTCAGAGGTAAGAACTGCCACGCGTTAATTCTTAAAGTACCCGGATGATCTCGACGGATTATAGAAACACGTTACGCTCAATCGATCCCGTGTGTACGTACAAAAACTCTAGGTGCATCTAGCATTCAGGGGACTATTTAGGCTAAACGCGTTTCCATGCAAACTACAATAAACCCTGCGTGCAATTTTCGAAGACGATTCGCAACGTGTCCGTGTAGGTACGCGACGCAAAGGAAATAATTTCACTCGAATACGTTATTACACGAATTACGGATCACAATATCCTACGGTATTCCGTAGATCCAACGAACCGTTTCCTGTACGATGATATGTATTAACGTGGCGGGTGTCAGCCCCGTGGACAGAATCAGGCGGCGGTTGTTGTTTGTTTGTTTGTTTGTATGTACTGCGAGCACCCGGGGTACGGTTGGTTGCATTGGTACAGGGCAAAGGGTGGCAAGCGGGGGGAAGGGAGGTAGATGGGTATATCGTGTTCTATTCTATGGGTACGGGCGTACCGTGTGTGCGGTTGGGGCACGACGTTACCAGCCTGAAAATTGAATGTCAGCCAAGAAAGAAATGTCACAATATTCCGCGTGTCTGCAGCCCAGGCCTGGTTTCTATTGCATCTTTCGTCCCTGTCTCCCCCTGTTCGGTCTCTGCTTTCGCGAACACAAGAGGCGTGCGAGAGACACGGTCGGACTTCTGGCATTCATTTTCATAGAGTCTGTTTACGTACTCGATGCCAGAAAAGGGGATGGCTACGGAACCAAATGGCCGTATAACACGCGAACGAAAATAAAGGTGCAACCGAAATACGCGGAACAAGGGATATTCTCTCCGCCAACAGGCCCGGTTGAATCGGCGAAAGGATCTCTGAAAAACAATAATGCGTGACAACGATATTAGGCCCCGCGATATGAATTATATCGTCGCGTTATAGTATCACCCTTTCCTTAAATTGCCGCATAACGTTAGGATTTTATGGAACGATAAATTTCGCGTTCGTTGGACGACCTCCCAATTCGCCACCGTCCGAGTCGACCCGTAAATCAGCGATCGTCTCGTTGACCGAGAAATCCTTTCGGCATCTGCACAGTCTGTATGTATATATTAGCCGCGCCTTTTCTGAAAAAGCAAGCGTGTCATGGCGGGACACGAGGTCGTCGCCGTAATCCGACGTCCGAATGTTTGACAGAATAATTTTCACGTTAGCAGGGTGCATTATGCTCCTTTATGCTCGCGCCTGGCCCTAAGCATTGTCGCCGAAATAAGCCGTATCCCACACCGTACCCGGCCCCCTCAGCTTTTATGCGCTTTTGCGCGTATACCGTCTCGCCACACAAAAACCAGGGAACCCCGTCTCGTATAGTTGCACGCGGCACGAGAAACGACGAAGGTGGAAGAAAGAAGGAGAGATTAGAACCTAAGCCAAACCTCCGCCGCGCCGTGCCATGTCCTGCCGCTCCCGGTAGCTTCGTACCCATGCGTACGAGCCATCCGTTTCTCCTTGGATACTTTTTTTGCCTTCTTCCTTCTCTCTACCAGTCCCGTTTCTTTTGCTTCTCTCCTGGTCGCGGTATGTTAATCTTCGGTTATACGAGAACGATCGTCGTCTCGTCGTATCGATGAGAAATGTACCAACCGACGTTATTCGCTCCCCGTCCACTCATTTCGGCTTCGGTGCAAACGTGGTAGGTATACTGCTTCTAAAGTCTCGCGTATTCCGTCATTCTTCTTTGTACTTGTACACCACATATTACCCCCGCGCCGTATCTTGACGAGCAACGAAATCGATCGACCGAGCGAGACGAGGACGGCAGAATGCCAGTTAACCGCGAGAATGCATCGAGAGAGATCAGGCTCTCTCGGATCTCTGTCACTCGACACCAAATCAGACAGAATCTGTCAAAAATCTGTCACCCGACCACAATGGGCCTGAACCCTCGAAGATTTTACCTACACGATGAAACCAGGCCGTGGAGAAAGAAGGACGGATGGTGGCAGGAATGTAAGTAGGTGGGCCCTTACCACCTATATTTGACACCTTTCAGTCCAATAAAATAAAATGGTTCGGTGGAATGTGGTCCCCCGATTCGAGACAGAAGTGCCGTTTCCACGACCAGACGTGGAACGTCTATGCGAGACTTCTCCACGAAGCTTCTCTGTCGTCCAGCCAAGTTCTCTCCAAGTCCGAGGATAACATCTCGAACCCTTGATAAGGGTTCGTTCCGTCGAGTTTCACCTCGGAATCTCGACGCGATTTTTATCTCCCTGTCGTTGCCCGGCTCGCTGTTCGAGTCAAATTTTTGCAAGAACAAATAATCCATGAAACGCTTCGTGGAACTATAATAAAGGCTACGCGGATGGATATAGAAGTGTTAACACTTCATAATATCGCAGTATCTTAGAAAGCTGCGTTCGCCACGCATTTCGATCGGTGAACCGTGACCGATAGCGCCGTGATCGAACCATTCCCGCAAACTCGCCCTTTGTGCCACTCCAATATAGATCTCTGTTATGGATTTTTCGTAACGGTTGCAATGTCTTCACCATTGTAACCAAGAACGGTGAACCGACTTGCCGATAAATTGTATGCAATTTTTTCGAAGCGAATCGCGGTCGATCCGCCAACACGATTAGACGTTTATGGACCGGTGAAATTTTTATAACGTTAGGAAAACAACTTGACGCTTTATTGAACGGACTCCAAGTACATTGCACGTAACGTCGAAATAAATTGCGACGTTTGTATCGAGGATTGCGCGCGGTCACGGGGCTCCGATGAATAGAACAGCAGCCGTTGTAACGCGTACTTTACGATCGATCTTTCGCGGATTTTCTGGACCGACCCGACGAATGACTCGACAAAAAACACCCTTCGCATTTACATTCGTCCTAATCCGATAGGCATCGTTCCTCCAGATGTTTTGGGAGGGTTGTTTGTATCGAGATGCGTAGGACAGATATATAATCTAGTCAATTTGACACCCTCATCGAGGGTCTAATGGGTGCTTTCAACCCAGGACGGACCAGTTATGGCGTTGCTTTCTTACGACGAACGGGACTTGACCGTCGCTCGATGCACCCCGATAGATTCTTCTCGTCCTATAGTTCGTTTGTTCTCAGCACTTTTTAACAATATTACGAGACTCGATTTAATTCGTTCTTAAAAGTACAATGAACACAATATCGGAAGGAGAAGTGTAACAAGCTGCATCCATTTCACGCGTTGATCTTCTCTTTCTCCGGATTCGTCACCAATGTCGACGGTATCGAGTGCATCGGTACCTCGGTGTATTTTTCCGGCGGTAAAAATCTATAGAAAAACAAACGCGTTTGAGGCATGGAAATGAAGAAAAACTTGACGGAAGCTCCAAGGAAATTCCAAGTATACGCACCTCTGTATTATCGGTGGAAATAATTTTCTGTCCACGTCCTTTAAGTCGGGAACACCACACAGGAAACTGACCAGAGTGCCTACAACCATTACTATCAAGAAACCGACCAAAGTGTAATACATGAACGATATGGTGAATAGAATGAAAGGTTTTTCGTTCGGAGTCGGTAGAGATGAAGTCGTATTGGTCACTGTCCGATTAAACGGACTATCTACGTTCAAGCAATCCTCGGTCGACGTAGGAAGTGGCTGATAGACCAATCGTTTTGTAGCCACATTCACTTGAGCCCCAACAATGATCCAAACCATGCAGATCATGGAAAGTAATCCACCAGCTATAGCACCTTTCGACGTTGCCCATGGTACTATCATTCCCAGAGTGAAGATGCCCAACATCGCCCCAGCTGTGACACCGTGGAGGGTCAAAGACATTTGGAAAATGTCGCTCAACCGATCCACGAGAAATACTAGCGCCACGCAAACCAGTCCTACGACAACTACGATACTCTGAAAATCGCAGGCATTGTATTGCTTATCGACACTTACACAGCTGTACGTGAAATAGTCTGGGAAAAATAGGTGACACATCATTTTTTTTCTCGTACTTTCATAATAGTCGCCGCTCGAGCCTCTTTGTTGTTGCTCTCCGACAACCAGGGATCGATGAAATCCTCGTAAATTGTGCCGGCTACTGTGTTCAAACCAGCGCTCATCGTAGAAAGACCAGCGCTGACGAGGCCGGCCAGAAAGAGACCAGGGAGTCCCGGTACGCTCGCGGCAACGTCCAGCACGTAATACGGAAGTAATTGGTCGCTCCTCGTGATTACCTGGAAACCAATTGACCCTATAAAGTTTACCAGAAACAAAAGACCCGACACGGCGGTCTGGCGCCGAAAGAAAGGAAAGCAAACGTACGTGGGTGCTTATAGGGTCGCATTTGTGATACCTGGTGTACATTATCAACCCCGTAAAGACCGACACCCATTTTATGACTACCAGACATATCGCCGTACATCCTACTGCCCTGGAAAAATAAAAGGTACGGTTCGTTATCCTATACCGTTAACCGCTTAAAACAGTTTTACCGACTTGTAAGCCTCTTTGATATTCGGCACCGCCAAAAAACGTTGCATGGACACCTGACTGATTCCAACCCCGGCCAGCCAAGTCATCGTCATTCCCACCGACATACCCCAAAAGGAGTTTCGTTCGAATGGGCTCGGACTCATGCTACAAAAAAATAGTAAATCATCCCCTTGATGACCGCACAATGAACGAATCGAAGGCAATTCGTGCATGAATTGTAAAAGTTCAATAGACTTGCTGCGTACTTCCAAAATACGATTCTCTGACCCACCTAGCGTTACGATCATCTGAATGGTATCCGCCCATACGACAGCTTTCAATCCTCCCTGAAAGTTTCGAGCGAAAGACATATATGTATTCTGTACTTTTCGGACGAATCAATCGTTAATTGTTACGATTCATTTTCGTTCAATGTATTTTCACTCTCCAGTAAACGTTTGTAGTACGGTACGCGAAAGAACCAGTTTCAGCTACCAGTTACGCGTAGAGTTGACATTATCAACAGTTTAATCATTCGTCTTTAAATCATTGTCGCGTTTCATTCATAGCACGTTCGAAGTTTTGTCAGGGGATTCCTTGAATTTCGTAACGTCGTATAATCCCCAGTTAATATTTGTAAACACCGTATTGTTTGCGTTTCATCGTCGTTGTACGACGTACACGCACACACATATTTGCAAGAGAACGACGATTCGGGCCACTTACGATCGTCGTGTAAAATATGCAGACGATGCAGATTATTGGCGCTACCAGGTGCAGATTGATCGATGTCGCCTGCGAGAACGCCAAGGCTGGTACATAGATGATCAGAGGGACGTAAAGGGCCAGCGAGAGAGTGGCTAGAAACGAGGCGAACGTCCGGACCGGCCTCGTGAATCTCATTTCCAGATACTCGAAAGTACTGGTCAATTGGAGACGGTAAAACACCGGCATGTAGATAAGAGCAATCAGACCGCAAGATATGATGGATGTAAAAATGCAGGCTGCATACTGTGTCCCGTATTGATACACTTCGACAGGTATAGCGAGCAACGAGACCGCCGACACGTGACTGAAATAAGTTACACGGAAATTCAATCGACAGACTACCATTATTCTGATTCGTGTCTTGTTAAGACAATGTATGTACATTCTTCGGGGAAAACACAGTTTTTCAAAATTATTCTCTCTACCTTGCGATTAGACTCATGCTAACCGGAAAACAAGACATTGATTTCCCTCCGAGTAAGTATTCGGTGGTGTTATCCTGTTTCTTGCTGAAACAACCGAAGTAAATCCCTATCAAGACGCTGACCCCTAGGAGGCCGGTGAAAAGACTGTAATCGGTCCATCCAAATGTGAGTTGCTTCAGCTCGTGCCCGAGTAAAGATGATCTCGTCTCGTTCTCTGCCATTCTAAAACTAATACAACTGCAATTAACTCACGCCGGACACGCCGCGGGAATACACAGATCGAGTGTTTGCACACGATTGATCCTCGTAGGTAATTGGAACTGGCAGCCTCGTTCCGCGTATTTTTTCCTTTTTCCTTATTTACAAAACGATAAGACTAGTTACGGCGGAGAAAGCGACAATATCGATTCCGATCCTTTCTAATTGGCAAAAACTAATGTTGCTCGCGTGAAAACGCATACCATAACACTGGATGTTAACTAATGTACGATCAACTGTTGTTATTGTGTATAAAATCACTTACATTCACTATGAAAAAAAGAACGGTACGATATTTACGACACTCGCGTTTTAATTTCCTGTTTGTCTATCAGATCATGAGTTCATTAATGTTTCTTGACCGGTAGCTCGCAGATTAAATAGTAATTCGAGAGATTTACGAAACGACCTAGTTGCGTAGGTATTGAACACTATAATGTTTCAAGCGTTTTGGAAAAGTACCCGACAAGGTCCACATTCCCACTGGCACCGATGACGTTCAAACCGATCCTATATGTTTAATCAATGTTACACGTTCGCCAGACTAATTTACGATAGATAGATAAACTTTGTTTGTCCCGGTGTACCGCAAATAGTTAGGTATTTTTAAATCAGCACTTTCGGGCCGAACCTGCGTCTTATTCCGTGATCAACATCGTAACGGCCTTCTTTTGACTAAAAATTTATAATAAGAATTTTTGACGGTCGTATATCGTTCGCGATAAGGCAAGTGAATGCGATGAGCGTAGCCTCTCGATACGAAAAAAGCACGGTGCTCGAGAATAGAAAAGATACACTAATACTGGCAATAAATTCGTTAGACGTTGATCAAACATCGTATGTGCCTGGAACGATTATATGCAACAGCGCATCGCACACAAGAATAACACGAACGGTTTGCAAGAATATACATATATTTATGTCTCTACACCACTTTACAAAATTACAAGTACTCAAGATACTCCGTATAACAACCATTCTGTTAACTGTTGCATTTTTTGCTGTCTTTCCGTATCAGAAGAGCCTTCTAAGAGATCGTGTAAACTCTTCTTTTCGTTAGGATCGAGCTCCTCCGAGGGATTCAGAGGCTTAATGACCATGCTTGGAAGCGTAACATCATGGTAGAGAAAAATCTGAAAATACCCCAAAGTGCATGTCAACTTTCCTAATATTTTTTTTTCATCTTACAAGAGAGACGGGAAAAGTCACCTTATTGTTAAAAGTGTTGTACACAAGACAGGGTGTCGAAATTCCAGGCGAGACGTTATAGTGGCCAGTACAGAATGCTCTAACTGGCTCTTCGAATTGAAAACGTACGCTGTTTCGTTGTTGATCTAAAATATAAGTCTGGCCATCCCAGGCGCAAGCTACTATTTCGTCAGAGCCGTCTCCAGTCACGTCTAAACGACACAAAGCAAATATCAGATGATCCACTTGCATTGACCTGGAAGAAAAGAAGTATATTGTGCCATATTCTCACTCTAGGAAGGTAATATTAAGTTTTTTAATCGTACCATAGAATAACTTCATCTTTAACCAACATTATTGTCCCGTCTAAGGTAGCAAGAGCATAAGGTTTTCCTTGCTGTGAACCTTTCTCAAAACTTGTGTTAGCCTCCTGTTTATCATCTTCCTTCACATTTTCAGTATTGTCACCATTCTCGTTATTTTCGCAAGAAAAATCTTTATACGTAGGCAACAATGAGTCTTTTTCCTGTTTCGCGTCATAGTCGCCAAGAATTACATTTCCACCCAAAATATTACCATCAACCTGATCTACATTAGTAGGACTAATTTTCCCAGAATCTTTATCCGTTTCACGACTGTCTACAGTGGTACTGCTTTCATGCTCTTCTGTTGCATCTATATTGTTGTTTCTTAGTTGACATTATGAATTCCGCTCTTTGATTCTAATGAATACAAGTCCAAATACTTACCGTGTTGCGTCTCACTTGAAACAACCTGCTTGGCCAAAGATTCTTTAGGCGCAGCACAGCCCATTGTTTTATTTTCTAATGTCATTGACTCCAAGTCTCCTATGATCTCTGTTGAAATATTTTGATTGCGCATTCGTGATATACCTAACGTTTGATAATCTACAAAACTCGCTGCTGATTCATCGTCTGTCTTGTGAACTTCGTCTTCTAAATGACACTCCTTCGGATTACACTTAATTCGCATAAAGGTTCCTCCAGGTTGAGCAACTAATAAGGTCGGCGTTCCATCCGCAGTATGCTGAATGGAATTTCAAACTTCTTACTGTACATATTTATTTTTAATTTATGTGGGTCAGCCATACCTGCAATGTAACTGTTCCTATCTGATTGGCACATTCCCACTTATTCAATCCAACTAACTTGCCTCTACCTAGTTCTAGATTACTTGACCACCTATAGGATCTAACCACACGGTCAGTTAAACCTAGTATCATTTCATTTGCACCATCTTTATCAACATCTGCTACCAATACAACCTTTGTATTTGTTGGAATTCTTTGTACATGGACGCATTCCATTTTTCCAGACAACTCGTTCGTTTCGCTGTTCCCATCTATCTGATCTAAGTACAAATAACATAGAGAATTTATAAATCACAATTGCTCTGAATTGTAGACTAATACAAATTTTAAATCACCTTTACTAGTGTCTTGATCTGATGTTTCTTTGGCAGACTGTTGAGAAGAGTTTGCATTAATAGTACTGGGGTTTACAGACCTTGGACTGTAGAAGATATGAGCCCAACCGTCTCCACAGATCACAACTAATGCATTTCGTCCATAATTAAATACATCTCCTATTGCAACACTGGTAATCATACCTAGACCGGGTATTTTTTGCCACAACTCTGATCCCTGTTAGACATTGATTTAATGTGATATGTTCAATATTTTCTTGGTAAATAACTTACTTTGAAAATATACAGTTCTCCTTCTGCAGTGCCAACAACTAGTTCATTGTCACCATCATTGTCGATATCTCCTATTGTTAACCCATGTCTGCACACAGTCCCAGGTAGATCCCATTGCAACCGTTTCACAAAACTGACAGCCCTCATTTGGAGGACCAGAATAGTAATTTGGCTAAGTTTAGTGGTCACTTGTGTTTTAATGTACTGGACTGAAGGCTTTGCCACCGACTAATTGGCCACACTATCCAGGTAGCTTTTGCAATTACTAGACCAACAGAAACTGGCCCAAAAATATTAGAGTCAAGAGAATGACTGCTGTTATCTCCTTCCAACCAACAATGACCTTCTGGTACCTAGTAAATAAATACTTTTATTGCCTAGTCAAGTGATAGAAATAAAAATAAATCTAAATACCTTCAACACATGTTCTTTATATCCATGAGTAACTACAATATCTCCAGCCAGTCCCACTACACGTTTAATTAAAGTTTCACTTGGGTTCCTAGGAGATGTGACAGCTACTATCTCACCACGGTCAATACCATGTCTCCAAACTGACCAACGATTCAACAAAACATAATCAGAATCACTTATATTAGGATTTAAAGTTGGTTGCATAGAGCTTCCTTCTACCTCAGCTATATATCCAATTTTCGTACGAAAGGTAATTCCTATAGGCAAGCCTATAAGGAAATACCGGAGAAGTTCATACATTACCATCTATCGTACTTATATACTAAAAATGTTGACAATCTGTCATATTTATCTATATTTATTAAGTACGAGTTCTGAGTACTGCGTATAATTTACTCTGTAATACAGAATAAAATATTTTCCAATAGTCCAATCTTTCATATTTCATAGGAATCAAATCAAAACAAAAGACAATGTGCAAATCAGTATATATATTATATATTAACTATTTATATACATAAGAAGTAAAGCAATTTTCTTTGGGTTAAGTAAAAACACACATACACATATATAAAGTTTAAATAACTGACAATTGATTTACATTATTGTAAAAAGTAAATTAATACCGTCAAATTTAAGCTGAAATGAGAAATCCCGTAATCTATGAGATGAAACAAGTATTATCGTGTATCAAATTATATACGAGAATTCAGTACAGGTTACGAGGATAATGTAAACGCAGTGTACTTAGACTGGACTATCTGTATGTACAACATATATATATATATATATATATATATATATATATACATATAGTGAAAAATTATATAACACACATTCGTATTATCAGCTGATATTATATATAAATACATATAATGTAACATATTACACATATAAACAGTAAATATATTATTCATTAATGTTGAAAAACTATGTATTTAATATATTATTTATTTTTTTAATAACAATATTGAAGATGACTATATACTGCGTTAAATTACGTAAGCTTATTATTTAGGTAGAGTAATTTTTTTAATAAATAGGCAAGTGTATTTAATAATAAGCAGATTATGACTATTAACATGCCTGTTTTAACAACAATCTAAGTATTTCAAAAACATGTTTTAAAATAATTATTACGATTTCATAAAAATGAATTTGAATTGGAATCACTTTGTAGTATTAAGATTATAACATTTTGATCACTTTTAAGATCAGGGTAATTAAAAAATGCTGTTATGTTTTTAGTTTCGTTATTGGTAGCGCATTACAAAAAATGCGGCAGCTCTGTTCTATAGAAATATACTGAAGAATACTTACTTTTAATTACAAATATATAATAGTGCTTTAATAAATTAAAAATTCTTTTCAGTCACACATTTTTTATACATTTTCTAAAAAAGGCATAATATAAAAAGTAACTACAAAATTGCTTTATTTTCAATATACGTGTATTTTTTATATAATTTGTAAATTTAACAAGTTTCCGCATTTTTTGCACGTAATTTGACAATCACCTCTTCCTATTTGTATAGATACTTTATAACAATATTAACAGTTTCGTTTCGCAATAATTACAGAGAAATGAGTGGTGAACATTATAATGCATTCTTTACATTTATATTTCTGTGGAACATCATGCAACTAAATAAATTATTTATTGGCTCTCAGGAGGTATTATGTTCGAGTTTTACTTATATTTCAATTGCAATTGGTTTCGCATAAAGTCATCACGTGATCATATTAAAGAATAATAGCGATTATTCCTTACAATTGCATTCAATATCATAGAATAATTGTATGTTCAAGCATAGGTATGAAAATGACAATCCTACTTACTAAATAACTACAAACTACATTATTAAAAAATTTCCATTGAAACATAATGAGACTACCACAAATTGGATGCCATAAAAATCGATTATTTAACATTAAAAAATGAACAACGAAAGTTACATTTAAGTGTTTGACATAATAAAAAATACTGAATAGCGTTAAACTCAAATATCTGGTATGTACACGAGCATGTTGGATCAGTGCTTGCCAATCACAATATCCAATCAAGAATAAATACAATAACAATGTTGATAGTTGTATAGTCTCCAATAACTGTACTGTAACGTTGTAGCATTTATTGTGTAATAACAGTATCGAACATGTAGATGAAGCACTACCTCTTACTTGGCCCCTTTGATTAACAAATTTCTGATATTATGAAATACAGGATACAGCAGACAATAATTTAAGCATGCGATAAATTCGAGTCTTCTGAACTTATTAGGTTCTTCTTGGCGATGATTGACCAACACTTTTATCGGCTGTCGTTACATTTGTCAAACTGTTTTATTATTTTTTTTTACTGCAACACGTCATTCGGAAAGATTGGTAAACACTGATATAATCAATTATTTCTCTATTACTTTAGGTTCGTTTTCTTCTGAATCGTCTTTCCACTACAAGGCCACCCATTGTCACCCTTTTTTATCTCACTTTCCTTGTTAATGTTTAAACTTTGATTCATTTCGTTGTTCTACCACCACCGTGGTAATTATCTATTTCTCTCTTATTTCACTTAGAATCATCTGTTTTGTTTTCCTTTCCACTTCGTAAACGTCAATTATCAATTCGAAATTGTTAGTGCAACAATTTTCTAGTTTCTTATAAACTTCTTCCACCCTTTTCCTTCTTATCTACCTCTTCGTCCCCCGTTTCTTCTGCACTTCTTTCACTTTCATTTAGCTCTTCTTTTTCATCCGCATCGGCATCTTTTTCTTGTTCGTCTTCACCATCTTCGGTTTCGTCATTGTCATCGTCCTCTACTTCTTCCTCCTCAAAAACTTCTTCTTCGTATTCTTCTTCACCTTCTACTTCTTTTTCGGCATCATTTTCTTGCTCCTCTCTTTGGTTGTAATTTAAATTCACATTTTCTTTTCTTTCATCATTATCATTATCGTCGCCCTCGTCTTCATCTTCCTCCTCCTCCTCCTCCTCCTCCTCCTCCTCCTCCACCTCCTCCTCCTCTTCTTCTTCCTCTTCCTCCTCAACCCCACTTTCTTCATTAATTTCATCGTCTTCATCTTCGTCATCCTCCATTTCATGTTTCACCCCTTTCGCTTCATTCTCGTCTTTTAGTCGATCTTCGTTCTCCTCATCGTCAACTGTACAAGTAACTTGTGTTTCTTCATGTTCTATGTCTGCAAGTGAACCACCAATCTTCGACGATTTTTCCGTATCATTTGTATTTAGAACTGTTACATCCTCTACTTTCCTTATTTCTTGATTCTCTTCTTCGGATTCCTAGTTTAATGGAACAATGTTAAATACTTTTATTTCCACAACTATACGATAAATGTAATATTTAAAGTATAGTAACTTGTCTAAATGTGTACTAACTGTAAATTCTGTAGAACTACGACAAAAAAATAATAGTGTATAATAATTAAGTAATTGTTAAATGCGCTTAGTATATGTAACTATGTCAGTAATGTTTACAATCACTTCAGTAAAATCATCAGCTAGTAACAAAATGATTAAAAAAAAACTATTAACATGTTGCCAAAGGTTACAGATATAGCAGTTCCGACTGAAATTAATAGATTAGTAACATATTCAACGTATAATACAAATGGGATACTAATATCTAAGACAAATCTTATTAGGTTGAGTTATTATTTTGTAATTATACATTAGTATCAAGTTTTTGGAAAGATATTACCAAGAAACATATTTTTAAAATTGCAACATAGAATTTCTGTGATTTTCCAATTATGTGTTAGGTAATCTATATCGAAGCAAACAATTAAATGAATAAAAGAATCACCAAATAAAACAAGGCTCCGCAGATTCATTTGATTCTGTTGGTAATTCTAATATTTTCTTACAGCTGCAGTTTGGTCGAGACTGATGAGGGAAAGGGTCATTTTGCCTGAGAGTACAACAGGTGCTTCTGCATCCTCCTCTATTTTTTGTGCTTGTGTTTCTGAATCTGTTACAAGTAATTCACACTGTGGAGGTAACGCGCCTTCTAAATAGATAGGTCTGGCCTGTTCATCGGAGGCGCCTCTCACGTCGTGTAATGTATTGCAAGAATTATCATTACCTGTTTGCAGTGGGTGTTAGACAAGTAGTATCCCTCATTTCCTGGAAATTAAACAGTTACAATGAAAAACTGTATGCACTATTTCCATCAAAACATTGCTATTTACACATTTTTTAGCGTAAACTAAATATAAATGCTGCAGTGTTTAAATTAATGCTACTATTAATGTTAACACTTATCGATTGGTTAAAAAACGCAACATGAAAAGTGTATAAAAAATCCATGCTGCACCACTGAAAAAAACATATAGTAATAAAAAGAAAATACATAATAAATACAATTTTCTCTTAACTTGCGATATTTAACAACAATGCGTTATCATGCACTAAAGATAAACAATGTTCAGTATAAACAAAAAATTAATACCAATATTTGTTTATGCCGATTTTTATTCTAATATATTTTATTATTACCTATGAATATTGAATACTGTTATTACAAAATTGAATTCTTAGTACTCTAACAAGTAAGTCTTCAACGCAGTAAATTTATTACGCGCGGAAGAATAGAAATTTAATACGGAACAATTTCTCGCAAACTTTTGGTTACTCTTGTTAGGAAATTTCTGAGGCAAAGAATATACCTCAGATGAGCGATCGACCCCTGCCAGACCTTCGGACTTTGGAGGCTCATTTACTATTTAAATGTAAAAATAAGCACTATATATTCTATTACTTAATAAATTCATTAACTGAAATTCTTGAAACGAGTATTTCACTCAGCTAAAATATGAATACGCATTTTCCATAGAGATGGATATTTAAAACATTTATCAGTGATTTAAAAATGGTTATCTAGGAGCATTGAAATTTGGAAGTAGAAGAGGAAGCAAGATTTTGAAGATCCTTTACTAAATGTACAATATGTATATAATGTACATTGGGGTAGATAAAGCTTGAAACGCAATCAGAACACAACAACGTGCACATTTTCTAAGAGCTAAAAAACTGAAAATGTAAATTGCTTCAAAATTAGTCTAGTAAACCTTGAATTCTTGTTGTGAGCTTGGACGCATAACTGATCGTGACATGTTGTCTATCTTGACAACAATTCTTTCCATGGCTGCTTCCGTCTCGACCAAACGTCGTGTCAGGTGATCTATCTTTATGTCTCCTGCTGCTTCTTGTGTTCCAGCATGTATAACATTACCAAATGTGTTCAGAGAATGTACACAAGTACTTGCAATATTTGTAATTTTAGTCTAACATTAATTTTTTTGTTAAATTTATAGTATAAATACGTGTGTGTTCTAATTGTGCAAACCTTGCATCATGCAACACCGTTTAAAAATCTGATTAGATACTCAAAAAAACATGTACCTTATCTTTCAGTGTTTCTTTAAAGGAAATGAATTTCAAGGATAACACTGCAGTAATAATAATATAAATCAAGTGTCATTAATTATATTTAAATCAATAAAAAAACTTACGATCCTTTAACTTGTCTGTAGGTGAAAGTCTGTTAGGTGATTGTGATCTTTCCTTGCGGAAAAGTAAGTTACATGCTGTACCACCAGACATTGCAGTAGCAAAGGGTTCAGGACTAAATACCATTTTTCGAAATTCTTTTTCTGCTGCAGCTCCAGGGTATTCTGAAATGATTTCATTATCCGAATTCTTCTTCAGCACCTGAAATGAATCCCTTCTAATAGAATCTATAATATGTACCACTACACAAGTGAAAATTGTATAAGGTATACCTTGACAATAGTATACAAGAAAAACAGTACAATGCCTAAAGTATATAATGGCATGATGATTCCCATTGTACCATTTCCTTTTGGTGCAGAAACAACATGACCTGCACCTCCCAAAGGTGGTCTCAGTTTTGGTACCACATGATCAGGTCTATCTGTCACTTTAGGTACAATATGAGAGGAAGGTATGGCTCTACCTCGTTCCCTCAATGCAGGATGTAAGCCTCCAGCATGAGGAGGTGTACGTCGTTCTTGGCGTATTGTGCCTAAAAATATAAATATTGTTTTGTCAAATATTATCTGGGCATATGGATAAAGCAAGCAGAATCAAAGCTGTGTTACATTTACTACACGGTTCCTCAATTTTATAGAATTAATGTTAGTCTGTAATCTTCATGAATGGTGGAAGGGATCATTACATGAATGTATTTGAAACTATGACTATAGTCCAAACTTATACCTATCTACACATCAGTAGTTATGTTTGCTCTTTTGGCAACTTGCCAAAAGTAGAATTTGATTCTGCTTTCCATACATTATTTGTGAAATTATTCACATCAAAATCATGGTTTTAAATGGTAATAAAAGCATTAGTTTAATAATGTTAACAAATATTAATATTAGTACCATTAAATAAATATTAATGTAATCAGTAGAGTTGTTTCTGATAAAGATTATCAAAGATGAGCATGCTATGTCTTATTAGTATCTATTATCAAGAGTTCTGAACAAATCTTTTTATAATCTTACTGTGCGGCATTAAAATATGATATCTGATGAGGTGTGGTGTTCCTAATTGAGAAAGGGGTATACCAAAATGCATCTTAAGGCAAAGAGAACTATTAAATGATCTGATTTCTTCCAAAACTTGTTTATAACTTTTTCCCAAGCGTTCTCTATCAGCAAGAAATGTAGATAGATCTATACCACATCTGGCTAAGATTTCTTCTCTACATAAACTTGTACTTTGAGGTGTCAATTTTATAATTTTCAATGCATCTCTTACTCGTGGATCAACTTGATGATGCTTCAATATGTTCTGACACATTTCCTGCATAATGTCTGCAGCAGTGACGTCGCTTTCAAATATTACATCGCAGCAAGCTGATAAATATACATGAACACAATTCATTGATAATAAAGAAAAATTTATCAACATACACATTACATGGGTAATTAATACAATAGAGAAAGAGCATTTTGTTGTAATTGCATTTCTATAATTAAGTGTTCTACGAATAACTCAAAGAAAAATAAAGTAAGAAATTACTGACTCGATTGAAAAATAAAATTTCTATATAAACGTATTCTTAATATTTAGATGTACAAACACACTTAAATCTTACCAGAACTATCAGACGTGTGATGTGGATTGACAGATGCTGTGAGCATAGGATAGAAAATTTTCGGCCATAATACCGCAAAGCACCCAGCCACAATGGCTAGAATAAAAACCGTCTTTCTTGGGCCGAAATCCGTTATCTCAGCCATTTTCGTATATTCGTCGTTCGTGTAATTTTCGGAAATTCGATGAAAAATAAAACGATTGCGGATTTTCCGCTATCACGTCCAAGGATCGCGAACGGATGGAAGACACAGCGCACTGTCGTCTGCTATTTCTGTCATGGGACAGGGCTGTCTCTATTGGCTTTTGCCCCTGAAATATTTCTTTTTATCTTATGAATGCCAAAAGTTGAACTTGAAAAATTGATAAGAACAATATGCGAAGTTATACAATTTTCTAATACGTTTCCAACTGGTGGTACGGAACAATTTGCAAACAATTTGCAAACAATTTACGAATCAACATAAATGTATCCTTCAAAACTGTAATACCTTATATTTAGATGATGAGTAATTGGCAGTGATAATTATAACATAACTGTGCATAAACGTTACATTAGGATGTAAACCAATTTTACCAAGATTCCTTCACCCTGTCTTCAGGTTAGCATACTTTACTTGTAACAAGAATGAGCCAAAAAGCAATCCAGAAATAGCAGGTTCTGGCAATGTCACACAGGCAAGTAGAGAGACCTTGCCTGATAGGAAGAAGACAGAAATATGTACAACTTGTAGCTTGCTTTCATTTATTTACAGAATACATTGAATGTATGAGGGAAATGACTTGTGTACAAGGTTCTAAGGTTTGATGATGCTCCAATGATATATAGATTTATTCCGGTCCACCTCTCTATAACATGAAAAATAATATAATGTAAAATACCTATCTTAATTTGTGTATGTCTGCCAAATTGTTGCGTATATTTAATCATTTTTAATCTATTCGTATCATAATGATTTCTAATATTGTATCATGCATATCAATATGTCTGAGAAATTGAAAGAGATTATAAAAATAGTAACCGATAAAATACTAGTATACTTACATTAATATATGCAATTTCTTTCTCATCTATTGGTCGCCTTTGGAATCGCGGAGGGAGGTGAATGTCTTCTATCGTTGGCAAAACCGTCACGTTAGGTCCCGTTGCACCGCCAATAGTTTGCTTAGACGTCGCCCCTGAATGTGCAGACGGTATGGCTGCTGCACCTGCAGTTGCTAACCAATAATAATAAAATTTTTAGTCGGCTTTTGCAATAGAAACATGCAATCCGACAAATGATCTGACGTTACCTCTGTTAATTCCACCCTTACGAAATTTAATCAACGGCACATGAGGTTTAACTACCTGCAAAAATTTAATTTTTGCAAATAACCACTCTGCTTGTTGTATGCATAAATTAACATGAAGTACATCTTGACCACTAATATGCCGATGCACTGACCTTCCAACCTTTTGTTGCCATCATTATCTTTCTTTAAAATCTATCCGTTTGATGCAGAGACTAAATTTCGTTTGCAACAGAACCTTCTTTCTGTCTACATTAAACCACTTTAAACCTTCAGGTAGAGGGCGTTTTTTGACATACTTTAGTAAGTATATAATAATCGCCAAATACCTATAAAAGTACAAAATTCTACCGGTTGTTTATGATACAAACATGGAAGTTAATATTGTTTGAAAATTGAACTGTTACTTTTCTGTTCAAATGCAATAAAGCAATTATGCAGCATGTAGTAACTTCTATATGAATATATATTAAATTTAAATGATAAATTTACCAATCTAAAGTCAGCAACATACAAACGCGAAACGCCAAAAGCCCAATGTAAAATTATGACGATTATTTATATTTGAAAATTGTTAATCTCGTATCTATATTTCTACGATTCCATGTTTTCGAAAGGTACAATAGTAAAGAAATAACACACATATGATACTTAATACATTTTACTTTATTGTAAGTTTAACTTATTCCAAAGATTTTTGGTATTTAAACAAAATTTGGTTTGATAAATTAAGTAAGGTTTTTATGATACAGAAGATGAAAATGAAGATGGCTATCAATACCACATAAAACGTGGTTATTTATAACAGTCTTTTAATGACTATAATGACATTAATTTCTTTTGTCATAATCAGATCTTATATCTAGTCTACTTCTTCCATTCGGGAAGCATCTTCTGCTGCTTCACATGGTACAACATCTTCTGTTTTTTGTTCTTCGGCTGCAGTTTCCTCTTCATCTATACCAAGACCCAGCTTGATCATTCGATAAATTCTTGCAGCATGAACTTGGGGTTCATCCAGAGTAAAACCTGAGGAAAGAAGAGAAGTTTCGAACAGCAAAATTACCAAATCCTTCACCGCCTTGTCACTCTGATCAACCTCTGCCTTCTGTCTGAGAGTTTCAATGATTGCATGATCTGGATTGATTTCAAGTTGCTTCTTTGCAGTCATGTATCCCATGGTAGATGTGTCCCTTAGAGCTTGAGCTTTCATAATTCTTTCCATGTTAGCAGTCCAGCCATACTGAGCTGTGACGATGCAGCAAGGAGAGTCAACCAAACGGTTAGAGACCACAACCTTTTCAACCTTGTTATCAAGAATATTCTTCATTACTTTGCACAAGTTTTCGAACTTGGTCTTGTCTTCTTCCCTCTTCTTCTTCTCCTCCTCGTCTTCTGGAAGTTCCAATCCCTCTTTGGTTACAGACACCAACTGTTTTCCATCAAACTCCTTCATTTGTTGTACTACATATTCATCAATCGGTTCTGTCATGTAAACAACTTCAAAACCACGTTTCTTCACACGTTCAACAAAGGAGCTGTTTGCAACTTGTTCCTTGCTCTCTCCAGTGATGAAGTAAATGTGTTTTTGGTTTTCTTTCATTCTACCTACATAGTCCTTAAGAGAGCAAGCTTCATCTCCAGATGCCGAAGTATGATACCTCAGAAGATCTGACAATTTACTGCGATTAGGACTATCCTCGTGAATACCCAATTTAATATTTTTGCTAAACTGTTCATAGAATTTCTTGTAGTTATCCTTATCTTCTGTGAGTTCCTCGAACAGCTCCAGGCATTTCTTAACAAGGTTCTTTCGGATGACCTTTAAGATCTTGTTTTGTTGAAGCATCTCACGAGAAATGTTGAGGGGAAGATCTTCACTGTCAACTACTCCCTTCATGAAGTTCAAATACTCTGGAATCAATTCTTCACAATTATCCATAATAAATACCCTTCTTACATAAAGCTTAATATTGTTTTTCCTTTTCTTGTTCTCAAAGAGATCAAATGGCATACGACGAGGAACAAACAGCAAAGCTCTGAATTCCAACTGGCCTTCAACAGAGAAATGCTTTACAGCCAAATGATCCTCCCAATCATTGGTCAATGATTTGTAGAATTCACCATACTCTTCCTGAGTAATGACATCAGGATTTCTGGTCCAGATGGGTTTGGTTTTGTTCAACTCTTCGTCTTCGGTATACTTCTCCTTAATAGTCTTCTTCTTCTTTTTCTTTTCTTCTTTCTCTTCTGCCTCTTCATCCTCTCCTACATCTTGGATTTTTGGTTTACCATCATCAGTCTCTTTCTTTTCCTCTACCTCTTCAGACTCATCTTCACTGAGCTCCTTCTCACGTTCTTTCTGCACAACTAATTTGATTGGATAACTAATGAATTGGGAATGTTTCTTTACAATCTCTTTAATTTTATTTTCCTGCAAGTATTCACTTTGATCTTCTTTAATATGAAGGATAATTTTTGTACCACGACCCAGGGGCTCCCCAGTATCGTGTCTTACAGTGAACGATCCACCAGCACTGGATTCCCATAAGTATTGTTCGTCGTCGTTATTTTTTGAAACAACAGTAACTTTGTCTGCTACCAGATAGGCAGAATAAAATCCTACACCAAACTGACCAATCATAGAAATATCTGCTCCAGCCTGAAGAGCTTCCATGAAGGCTTTGGTACCAGATTTAGCAATGGTACCAAGATTATTAACTAAATCAGCTTTGGTCATACCAATGCCAGTGTCAATGATGGTCAGAGTGCCATCATTCTTGTTGGGAATGATTTTAATGTACAATTCTTTACCAGTGTCAAGTTTAGAAGGATCGGTCAAACATTCATAACGTATTTTATCAAGAGCATCGCTGGAGTTGGAAATCAGTTCTCTAAGAAAAATTTCCTTGTTTGAATAAAAGGTGTTGATGATCAAGGACATAAGTTGTGCGATCTCTGCCTGGAAAGCAAAGGTCTCCACATCTCCTGCCTCGGTCTCCATCTGTGTAGACATCTGGAATAGACAATAAAAATGTATGAGAACAAAAAGAACATTCAAAATTTCACAGTGTTTTGTATGTAATGCACAGTAATCACGTGTGTAAAAAAAATTACGAAAAAAAAACCACTTTTACGCGAGTAAAGCACGTGCCCAAAGAAATTATTATACGATATAAAGAAAGAAATATTCAAGACCGGGAGCGCAGTAAAGAAAATGTATTGTGAGCGTAATAAAATTTATTTCGAAGCAAACACAATGAAAAGTTTAATAGTTTCATTAAAATGATAGTTTAATCGTAGTTCAAACAAAGAAAATGTAATGATCATTCTTCTAAATAGAATTTAACCGTTCTTAAAATTTATTTAGATGCTATTGTACCTTTGTGTTCACCCAAATCGGCGTTAAATCAGTTTTCAGAAATGCACGAACACGTTGCCTGGCACCTGGCACTTTATTGAATGAAGTGGCGCGACCACTAGGTTCCGCTTTATATACCAGCTCAAATTCTAGAATGTTCTAGAACGTTCTAGAACATTTTTACCTCCCTGGATTCTCCATATCCGGTGGAACTTAAATCTATACTGGCAATGGTTAATCGATCGACATCTTTCGTGCATATAAAAATGCTGTTATCCGTTCTATTAAAATACGAGAACATGATCTTTTGTCAATCAGCCAAAAATACTTTCCATGTCAATAGTAAAAATCACATCGATCCTTTTTCTCTTAACGTGGTACTTCCGGCGTTTGTTCGGATCGAATGAATCGAACATTATCGAACATTTTCGAACACTCGAAGACTGTAATGTTTATCAAGATACTTCCTATTAAATCATGATTTGGCTGTTTTTTGAGTATCGTCATCGGTTAGCTTGCATAAATGAACAGGAGTCATTTTTCAGTATTTCTGTCAGCAGTAGTACCTAATCGATACGTTTTGCTTCTCATATGTTCTTGCTTCTCGTAGAGGAATCTTGGATGATTCAATTATAATTGTCTAAATATCGATTATTTTCTTGCCATACCGTTTTGCATAATTTTACCGATCCAATATTTAAGGTTCCTAGGATTTCCAAACCTCTCTTTGTAATGTCTGCGTAGGAGTATTCTGGCAAATGATTCATTCTGTTTAATTGTAATTTAACAGTTGTATCCGTTCGAATATATTAACGAAAACGTTGGTTGAATGACTCATGGAAAATCATGTGTACCGTATGCCCTGCAAAGCTTCGATACCAGTAAAAAGTGGTACGAATAACACTTTATAGGAAGTACAGTTGAAGATATGAGAATACATAAAGAAAAAACGATGGAAATATTTAAAAACTTGTTAAAGTTAACTTGTAGAATGTTGGAATCGGAAAAGACGTTCATAAATACCGCGAAAGTCCAGTCGATATCAAACTCTACTCTAAATGCCGGATCGTGGTGCCCTCTGCTGTTATTACAACTAAATGAATTTTGCATATAAAGGACGCGAACCAATGAAAATTTTAGTACATCCTATAAAAATAGTCCATCCCGGCAATTCTTTTTTAAACGTGATTACGTTACTACCTAGTTACGTATTATTGAAAATAGAAATTCGCCTGCTCGAGCAATCCTTTGATTAAAGACTATGTGTTGGAAATGCAGCATAAGCATTATAGTTACCGAACAAAATGTATTTAACGTACACTAGACTGAAGAGAGTGCAACGTCAGTCTCCCATTTTTACGAAACACGAAATATGACCACGTATACTCGATACTCGTGACTCTTGAATAACTCTAATGGGTACCCGAGTCACGTGGCAATGACACTACTAGCAATTACAAATGCCTAACTCGTAGGTTCACGCGCGCGAAGAGAATAGAGAAATCAATGGAGCACGTTAGACGCATTTTCTTTCTTTCCTTCCTTTGCATTCAAGCATCGGCGCGAACTACGAATTTTAACGAAAAACAAAAACTTTCTTTCGTCGATTTGCTCGATGAATATTAAAAGGAATTTCGGGAATGTCAAGGAACGATGTTTTTTGTTTCGAATGAAATCATCTTTATTTAACATATGCACAGACGGTACAAGTCGTCTGTAATTTGTACTACGTAGATACACTTTATTGTTCACAAAGACAGCTGCATATAAAACTTTTATTTTTACATATTATCCATTCATGAAAGGAATTGCATCGGCTGTACGATTATAAAGGGAGATCCAAATACGTCGAGTGGGGCGCATCGTCCTCGTCGATACGCGCGGAACAATTACACGGGAAAGGTCGGTGAAGTTGATATGGCGAGGAGCTTAACTCCGGTAACCTAGCTTTATGATGTCCAATAAAACTCATACAGCTAGATAACCAAAGAAAATGTCCGCGCCAAGATCCCTGGGCTGTTTCCGGAGGCGCTAAAATTCTTCCATGGGAGATGATCGTTTCAGCCGATTCCCCCTCCTCGGCCATCGAAGACTTGCTATTCTGCTTTACCGGCGAATTCATGGGCACGGCAACAGCAGAGTTTTACTTTCGCAAGAGCACGAAGATAAATTATGCTCGACTCGCAGCCACTACATCTGTATAGACATCGAGGCCGGGTCGCGATGACTCCTTATCCAGATTTCCCGATTGTAAATCGATGAAGTTCGTATTTGCGTGCGGGCCGCAGCAGAGTGCACGTATCCTCCGCACGATCTGAAACAGAAAGGAGAAATCTGAAACGGTTTTAAAATGATCGTACCTTTGTCCGTCGTAACAACTAAATTGATCGATACACGTGCGCGCGTCGTTGAAAAGCGAAACATCAACCGTTGACATTTCAGAGTGAAAGTCTCAGAGAGTCTCTGCAAGAGGATGGAGGAAGCTTCGAGCGTATTATAGCCAGCGGCTACGGGGACCGTGTACGTACGTACGTACGTACGTGTATACCTGGAAATTCTTCCGGCGTTTTCAGGCCAAAGTCATTCCCGTTGAAAGCACACACGAGGATAGAAGAAAGCACGGAGAGAAAGCGAGTACACTTACATTCGAAGACGGAAACAATGAATTCTCGTTTAGTCCGCGTGGTCGTACAATTGTACAAACGAAAAGTAAACGGCCGATGAGACGAGAGGCGGGAGGCGGGAGAGGATATCGTGTATACTGCTTCTATGTCATAATTAGTTGCGTCATAATTACTTCGACGTAAAACCGTCTATCTACGGTATCGTCGAGTTTCCTGCTTGTCGTTTCTGCCCGACCATGCGACTCTGCGAGATTAACGAAACTTACGCGTATCTCGTCGAACACGCTGGTGTGGAAGGAGATAAACTGGCCGTTTTAGAGTGTCGCGTGTAACGCGTCTAAGTTGCAACGAATAGTTTCTTGCCTGTCGATTGCGCCTCTATGAACGACTCGGAGTAGCGTAACGTATTAACGTTAGAATGATTTATAGCCGCGTAAAGATTTGCGTCGTGAGCTACCCTCTCCACGCTGAAGGAAAATACCAGCATTGCATCGTTGATTTTATTATCAATTATTGTTCAGGACTTTATCTGTGGCTTTCTATTGTATCGCGATACCAAAGACGCCGGTTTTCGTTCGGTCGACTTGCCAGCAGACCGGTACAAAGTTTCGTAAGAGCTTCCATTCGGAGAAAGTTATGATCTCGGTACGTTGCGCTCGCGTCTCGATTTGATTTTATTATCAAAACCACTCTTTTTCTTCCCTGTCCCCTCCCTACCACTGTATTCTTCTTCGTTTTCATGAAAGCTTCTCAATGTTAAAAAATGTCTAGAACACGACGAACCGGACATCACGTTTCGCAGCGATTTTATATTTAAACAACGCACGTACTTCTCTAATCTGCAGCAAGAATCTGGTAGCAAAAGCGTGACGATTTCAGGAACGTTATCCAAATTTCGTAATAGATAATTTAAACGTTTGCGAAACAACCTCTGTCCAGGCCCATTCGATCATTTCGTATTCCCGACCGAACAAAGCGACTTTACCAATGGGTATATCTTCGACTAGGAATCGCTAAAAAACGTAAAGAGCGTGCGCACACACGTTCGTCTGTCCGCGGGGCGATCTTCCTGAATGGAAATCGAGTCGATTTTCTCGAAACGGTAAAACAGTACAAAAGATCCCATTCAGACGATAGTAAAAATGATACTAAAAAAAAACCAGAAAGAAAAAGGACCGTGGCACACTCACCTGAGAAACCGTCGATTTATTTCTAGCTCGCTATCTTACCAGCCGTTACAGGAATACTAGTCGGTTAAGTTCGAGGCCTCGATTCAGCGATAATCCCCTGACTTTCTAAATCTGAATTTTCTTCATTCTTTTTTTTTCGGTCGTTCGTTGTGTGGACAGGCGGGCTGGAGGGCGGGCAGGCATACTGGCGAGTCGTGGTGAACGACAAAGGCGAGCGTATCTGACTACGAGCTCGCTCGGAGAAATGTGCCTTATCCGAATCAAGCCGAACGGCCGAGCCGCGAAATCCGTCGTCGTCGTTGTCGCCGCGCATACCTACGGCAAATACGAGCGTGTACCTATCTTTCACGATAAGCCGGCCTTCGATTTTGTTCCATTTGTCTGCCACGATCTGCTACGGCTCAACCATACCGATTATCACACCTTCCCAGCACGGAAAATGCGTATGTATATCGGGAACTCCCGTGAAACTATAAAAGCAGCGATGTGAAACTGAGAAACGCGACGTGAACAAAACAGAGACTACAGCGCGACGCAGTCTTCAACGGTCCAAGGCGTATAATATTCAGCGAGATAAAACGGTCGGGGATTCGTCGTGAAAATTGTCGATCGTTCTTCGATGCTCTCTATGTATATTATTATCGGGCAACCGCGGCCTCTCGAAGCTAGGTCGGTTTAACCACCTAATTAACAGTTCACGATTTCATTAACAGTCCCGTGTACGGCCGAGCCATTACCAGGGTCTTTGCACGATACGCCTTATTGACCGTAGTTTTTATCGTGAACGTTCGTGTCCGTCCCGCGAAGAAGATTGCGCAACGATCGAGGGATCCCGTCGAAACGAACCTGCCTACCGCCTAAATTCTCAAAAAACTTACCGTTCTCTTCGCGTAGAAAATCAGACGTGGAACGACTAGGCTGGACCAAAGTGTAAGTAAGTATATTGTATTTCTCGCGGCCGGTCGCGGTCGCGGTCACGGAAGATCGAACGAAGCGTGTTACGCGCCCGCGCGTTAAATTAATTTTCTAACGAGGCCGGGATTCGACGCGACTTCCAATCGTTTACGCAAACACAGCTGCACGAGTACCCGAGATAGTCGAGGCTAATGTCGCTTCGCTTATAGGCATTATCACCTCGAGTGTACTTATCGAGCCCGATTTAATTTCCTTGCCGCGTTGGAACGGCATTCGCGCGCGCACGGCGCGAACAGAAACAAAAAAACCACTGCTTTCGCACGACCTTGCGGTCTAATTAGAAAATTCTATGCGTTTTACAAACG